ACCCTGGCAGGACTCCTCAAGACCGGTACCGGTTTCGGTAGAAGAAGCCCAAGCCGTTTTACCCTGCACAGCCTTATAAAGTCTGCCTGCTGGCAGCAGGAGCCCAAGTTAGAGCAGCCGAAGCGGCCCGACAACACCAGGAGTGCCATAAAACCCCACGTATTCAGCTTTACAGCCGAGATGATACCATGCTTGCCCTAGACCTTCAAAAGCAAATAAGGGCGACAGATCCCACCCGCCGACAGCATATGCACTGTCATCTTTCGGTGCAGAGGTCTCAAGATTCGTCTGTAGCCGTGAACGCGACCTGGAACACCTCGACGAGGTGGAGACGGCTCCTCCACACGGAGATCACGAGGAGCCATCAGACCAGCCTTCGCATACTCAGTCCGCCGACTGCCCGGATATCCCCGCAGACGAGCTCGTTCGTGGAAAAAAATATGCCTCGCAGCCAAAAGACTCGTCGGATTCCGAGGAGCCTAAGCCCACAACAGCCATGTCGGAAGTAGCCTCCAGCCTCTTCCGTAATGGGCCCTGGAGAGTCATTCATGCCTGCAGAGCGGGAGACTCTGCAGCAGCCTGCGGAGTGTCTAAGCGTTTGCCGCATTCTGCCCAGCGGAACCAGCCTGAACCAGCCTCAGCCTTTTTGCAGACATAAAGCCTGCGTCCGCCTACTCGACGCCTTGCCGTGATAAAAGGCGCTTAGCCTCTCGTCACGGCCTTATACTCATACTGCCTAAGCGAAAATCCGCAGCCATTTTTCGCTCAGATCTCGCCGACCCTCCAACGCCGCAGGTATAGCCGTGGCTGGAGAGAATGCGTCAGACCTCGGAAAGTTCCTCAAGGACTTCTCTGTACATGAGGTTCTTTCCTCAGCCTTGTCCCTGAAGGGACTTGAGACTGTGGACGATTCCTATCCGGGCCTGTCGAGCCTCGACACGGTCCTATCGTCGCTCTCGGAAGCCGAGCTTGGCGAGATCGGTACGTCCGATCCCTTGCATGGCGTTCACGCCGCCAAACTGCGTAAAGCCTTACGTGTAGCCCAGAACCAGTCACATGAAGCTCTGCAGGCCCAGCCGCCACAGCCAAGCCCCCCCCAGTTTCCTGGGTGGAGAATCTGCCTCCTAAGATTAGCCCGAATTAGCCCAGATGCAGCCCTGGCTTCAAAATCAATTATCCTGGCAAGCTCCTAGACGAGGACACCATGCCTAGCATTCGATCGCGTTAAGTGGATCCCCTGGCAGTTTCGCCAAGCTCCAAGCAGTATACAGAAATCATGGAGGCCAAGTCCTCCAAGCCAATGCGTACAGAGGCCCAACTACTCGCCTCAGCCTTGTACGACGACACACCGGAGATGCCAGTCGCACACTTACGCCGAGCCTCAAGCTGGCTCTCCAGAATTCAGACGGTGTACCGCAACGACTGGGCCCTTGTGGGGCCGCCCATCTTAATAATCTCAAAGCCTTCGACAAGCGAGTGCTGGACCTAGCCTTGCCGGAGCTCTCCGACTCAAGCCTACGGGGGCCTACCACTCAAGAGCTCTTGGCAGCCGATAGGAAAGTTTGGGAGGTCATAGCCAATTTAGTGGGTTCGGGCTGGAGCCTAGATGAGGCATTGTAGGAGGTTACCTCATCAGGAGTGCTACAGCCCAGGCCCAAGCAGAGCCTAGCCTTAAGCCCGAATCCCAAGAAGGACCGACCCACTACGCCCAAAACCCCAAAGGGCAACGGAAAGGGATCAAAAGGTGCCAAAGGGTCCCCGAACAAGCCTAACTCGGAAGACTGGCCAGCCAACTGGGTGCACAAGGCTCATGGCAAGGTCCTATACAAAAGGTATCAGAGAAACCTTTGTTTGCTTTCTGGCCAACTGCACATTTGCCCATTTGTGTGCCATTCGCGGCTGCGGGAAAGAGCGCTGCGCTCTACATCATGAGTCTAAATAAACAGTCTTGACTGAAAAGACAAGACCCTACAGTGCTGCCTCAACCACCTGCCAACCCCCCTCTGGTCGCGGGCCGAGGGGTACCGCCTCACGCACCATTGCTGGCCGAGCGAAAAGCCCGCATCCTCAGCACAGCCCAAGCGGTCTACAGAGGCTCCCAAGCAAACCTCCCCGCTTCAAGAGGAGATTCGCCAACAAGGTATGGATGTCATCAGCCTACAAGAAACCCCGAAGGGAACACGCCTTCTCTCTGCCTCAAACAAATCCTCTTGGTTGATGTTAGCTCAGATGTCGGAAGCAGATGCATTGAGCTGGCCAACCCTGAAGCTACGCCTTCGATCGCTGTCGATCCCAACAAACACCCCGTGCCCCAATCCAAAGTCCTACAGTGCCTTTGGGGCCGGAGCATCATAGCAATGGTGGGCAGCCTGGCGGCCTTTGCGTCCGACGCAGAAGAGGCCTCGGCCCTCATCCAAGCCATCCGCTCGACTGGAGCCTGGGTCATGCTCACGTTGCCTTTGGACCACTACGCACTCAGAACACCTGAGTTCTCCGCCTGCCTTCACGACTCGGCCGTCCACCTGTGTCCTGGTACACAGCCCGAGGAAATTGTTATGGCAACATCTCCCCTGCCCACATGGCCGTGCAGAGACTCGCAGCTGACAGCCTTGGAAGCCATGGGCAGGATATGTAATTTGCCCCTCTGCCGAGGAGCCTTGAAACCCTTGACATTCGAGGACCTACTTCGCTCAGAGAGCTCGTTTATCCCTAACAGACCCCGGATTTGCGGGCCGGCTCGGCTAGTTCAGCGGACCACAGCCTCACGCATACATCTCGCCTTTCACAAGCCACACAGGCCTGGCAGAAATGGGCCGCCCAGTCGGACCTCGCGCCCCCTCTCCGCAGAGCCTACGTATAAGCCTACCCTGAATTCGTCGCTTTTCACAAAATCTGGAGGGGGGGTGAACTTTAGCCTATGGCCCAGCCTCGGGCCTATAGGCCCCCTCGTCTAGCCCAAAGCCTACTACAGATGCATTACGGTCAAAAGAGAGTGTGTGCCTAGTGCTAGAGCAGTGCAAGCCTAGTAGAACGCGATAGAGCATGAAATAGCCAATCTGTACACTGCACAACTCTCCAATGGAGAACACCGGCACAAGTCCGTGCTTCGCGAGGTGGACGGACTTCCGCTGCGTGCTGAATGAATACTGCTACTGCTACTGCTACGACTACTACCACCACGCTGCACCTTCTTTGGAAGCAAGTTTTGTTGGGAATGTCTGTTGTTTGTCGTTTCGTTCTCTTCGGGGCTTTCGGTTTAAGGCTGTCTAGCACAGTGTTTGGCACACCATCTCAACATGAATCACGCAGCAAGCTTCAGCAGATGCCCAAATGTGCGGGTAGCGTGAAAGATCGATTAAAACGACCTGTTTAAGTCGAGTTTGCCAGATCAAGGTAAGGGACGTGCCCGATAGGAACGCTTGAAGCTCCACCCTACAAGACGCTCCCGCCCAAGACCCACTACCCGGAAGCCCCGAGCCCTCGAGACTTACAACCACCTGTCACATGGCCTTCGAAATTCCTAGCCAACTCCAAACGAAAACAACGAACGATTGGCACTCAACATACATAACTTAAGAAATATGTGTCCGCGAAATGTCCGCTAAAGAATACTTTCTTCGTTAAGAATATCATTCAGGCAGGAATGAAGTTAGATCAACATACATCAGCCAACGCCCATTTCGGCTTGGGTTTGCGCTCACGGTTTGTGCCTCACATTTCGGAGGGAGAGCATCCGATCCGTTCATGTTGGCAAAAAGGTCTGAACGTTTTCCTGCTTTTATCGGGTGAGGTCCCACAGTGTGTTCGCCGTAGTCTTATCATGTCCTTCTCGGCTTTTGGTACGGTTTTAGGCTGTGCGGGTTTTGGCCACCACTGCTTTGCTCCTCTTGGGGTTTCGGGTTTGTTCACCCATTAATTCCCTTTTCGGGTCATGGGCTTCCTTCCTGACATTTCTGGGAAGGGATTTTTGGCGCACCACCAGGCTTCTCAACTATCAATCATCTTTTTGCACAGGCTCGTCCGGACGGGGAAACGCAGACTGACGACAGCATCCAGGAACAACCGCCGGCTGTATAGCAACCTACGACCAGTCGACCAAATTCAAGCCCTCGAATGCATACTGTACAGCTTTGCAGCGGTCGTGCCTTTACCTGTGACTTCTTCCCGAGGTGTCTGAGATGGTGGACGAAGTCACGGCCAAGGTCCCCGATGCGCCGATGCAATGTCGGACAGGCGAAATCGACTTGTGTGTTCGGCAGGAACAGCGACATCAGGCCAAGCAGGTGGTCAAAGATTTCGCCACTTCGCCTGCATGCAGTGCAGCCGTGCTAAGTCAGCTTTTTCGACGCTTGACATCATGTGAGGTTAAGGAGATGGTCAAGGGCCGCAAGATGAATGTCAGAGACTTGGGCAACCCTGCCAGACGCGAAGCAAGCGTTCCACTGTACATCAACCTGGAGATATATGTCGGTAGAACAGCTGAGATTTGGGCGTGTTTGGCCTTTGCTGAAGTTGAGGTAATGACCCAGGCTGGCCAGCTGAAAACGTGTGTGAGCGCTCAGCTTTGCACCTCCAGCAATGACGATGCTTTTTCTCAGGCATGGCTCACATGTTATCATTTGTCGGGCAATTGGGATGATTGTTCTTCAACTCGTAGTGATCATTGCTGGCTTGGAAGGCGCTGGCCAATTCCAGCCGGCAAGAGACAACACACACGCAAACACACCCTGCACCATGAGAGATAACTGGGCTCTTCTGCTGGATGTGTTGCATTGACGAGGTTCATGGTTGGTTGTGCAACGTTGCTGTTTCGATCAATCTTTCAGAACTACGAAACTCTAAATAAACATCTCCAAACTGCCCCGTGTTAGCATGCATAGCAGGTGTTTCTGTGAATACGGCCATACTGAGTTTCTGCGCAAGATTGACCAAGTGTCAGGGGCCGTCAAGGCCAGAACGGCAGTCCTTATTCCAGCTCGGCGATGCCTAACCTAGCTCAGGTGTGGTGTCGTTGAGTCGCAATCTAGATGCTTTGAAAATCAAGGCCCCTGAGATACTGCGACTGTGCTCTCGCAACAGCAAGTCTTGATATCCCTGTGCAGGTGGGTGCACAAAATCGGAGCATCGCACTTCGAGATGTGGACGAGATTGCGGCAGGCCCGTCACAGCATGTCACTGCCTGTCAACTGTTAGATTTTCGTGGGTTTGGAGCTGGTGCTGCAGGTGCAGATGTCGAGGGTCGCTCGACTGGGATACACAATGTGTCTGCCATTGACCGCCTATCCCGACTTGTCCATGGATGTCTGTGTAAGGTATATCGACTCCGCTCGATGACTTATGCGCTACGCTGGTGCTCTCCGATGACTGTTGGCTAAAACTGCCAGTTCAGCTGCCTCTCATGAGCCATGTGATCCCGGTGTTAACATTACAACATGGAGGCCTCCGTATATGGCCACCCCGCAACAGCCAGACTGCCAGATTTGACAATTAAGCGGTCCTTGGCAGAGTGTCAGACATGATGCGTGCGGTCGATGCAGGACTGCATCACGTTCCGGTTTGCCGACCTCAATGCTCGGGACGTTGTGCTTCTGCTTTCAATTGGAAGTGTGAACGGGTCAGAACTGTCAGAGAAATTGTCTTGGCCTTGCAGGACACTTTCGTCATGTGTTTGCTGATGTTCTGCAATAGCCAGAAGTGAGTGGCCGGAGCAGTTGCAGCAGCCCATTCGAGCCGAAAGCCAGGGCCACTTTCCGCAAAAGGATGAGGATAGGGATACAGGCAAATGCAGAAGCTTGTGTGCTAGCTGCACTGCCAACAAACTCAAACTTGTCATGCTCATTGTTGACATCATTCATGACAGTCTCATGTATTTGGTGCTCTGACAAATGGTCCATAAACGAAGTTCACATGGTCATTTTTGACACCAGTGCTCAATCTCATGTATCTCCCCTCACCTGGCATTGACATTGTTGACATCATGCGTGACAATCTCATGTATTTGCTGCTCTCAGAAATGGTCCATAAATTGACATCATTTGTAACAGTCCTATGTGGGTTTGCTCACTTGCATGGTCATTTTTGACATATCTATAACAGTCTCATGTATTTGGTGCGCTTACAAATGGCTCATACTTGAATTTTTATGCTCACTTTGACAGTGTTTATGACACTCTCATGCATTTGGTCACCATTCTTTTTTGTTTGTTTTTGAGGCGGAGAGTGTTTGAGGACTTTGAGGACATTTTAAGAACTTTTGCGTTATTCCAGCGGCGGTAGCACAATTGAAATTGAATTTCACAATTGTACTTTGAGAGATTTGGAGTTTTTCGAGCGGCGGCAACACAATTGAAATGTACTTCACATTGGTATTTTGAGAGGTTTGAGTTTTTCGAGCGGCGGCAGTACAATTGAAATTGTATTGCACACAAACATGTTTGAGAGATTTTGAGAACGTTTGGGTTTTTGGAGCTACATTTCTGCAATTGAAAGTGACCTGCAAATGCATTTGCAAGTTTTTGCAAGTTGACATAAGCTCCATGCCAGTGGACTCGAATCCATCGTGGAATGCAGTCGTCGTGAGACCAATACTAAAAGCAAGCCAAGCTGTTCAGCATCATGACCAAATGCTTCGTTTTCGCCCTTAAAAATGAGTTCATGTGGAGAGACTGACATGTTTTGCCTAGGTTGTCCGTGTTATATTCTGCGGTACATGCGACAAACCACACCTTGACTCGGACATGTTGCAGATTGATGTTCTCGGGCTGCCTGCACCTGGTTGTATTCTGCATGTCGGGTTTCGTGTGATTTCCCTGTTCAAGCTTTTTTAAACATTTCTTTTGCGATGCTCCAGCAGGGGGCCACGGGGTCGTTCAAGTGGCCGTCGCCAACGAAGCTCCACTTGAATCGACCAGGTAATCGTACCTGCCAAAGTAACCGCACGGCCTGGGCGTTTGCGTACACAGCTGGTGTGCAACTAGTTTCGCTTATCGCTGAAGCCAGGTTTTGCAAGGTACAGGTCATGCACCCCTAATTAACGACCTCATGGTCGTCGTCCACATCAAGCTTGGGTCTCGCTGTACCGGCCTGACATGCATCTTGAAAGTTGTGTATGGTTGGAGCTCCCTCATGAGGACCCGCCGTTTTCGGCGAAATATGCCGGCACGATGGCGTTCTTGTGTAGGAGGTCTGCAAATCACTTAGGAATTGACAACATGTTCAAGTGGAAATCAACGATCATTTTGGAGATCCGCAATCATGTCGGAAATCATTAGATGGTCAGATGCCAGATTACTGACTGTTTGCTTGCTTAAATGATGTTCAAGCGTTGTGTAGTTGTGGTTGCTTCAGACTGTGTTTTCTTGCAATATGGATCGTGATCGCACTCCCTGTCGAGCACCATGGGGCGGACTCCCTGCGCCTCCACCCAGTTGGACGCAACCTCGTGCAACAGTGGGCAACCCGATGATCATGCAACCCCCAAATCCCTATGCACATGATTTCGCTACATGCAATGCTGTATCAAGGTTGGAACTCAAATTGGATACGACACTTTGCCGAGGGACGACCGACATTTTTGGCAGGCTTTCGCAGCATGCCGGAAGTAGTATTCTGTCATGCATTATTCTCCAGGCTTCGAGAAGAACATGTGTCGATCGATGATCTTGCAGCGAAAGTGTGGGCGGGTTTGCTTCCTGTTGAGGCTCCGCATCCGGAGATACAAGGTCTCAAAGGCCAGGTTGAAATGCGACAGAAGCAGCTGGCGAACTTTGAAAGCACCCCGTCACCTGCCCGCGTGTCATCTCATTCCCCTGACACAGGCAAGCAGGCTGCAACTTCCGTACCAGTGCTCCAGAATGGTTCCACGCGTCTAACAAAGCAGGACGGTGGCAATTCCCGGTCCACCGCCGAGGCGCTGACGGCCACGCCAGCGACCGATGAGGATGAGAGCCGACGAACAGCCGGCGGGCTGCAGGCCGAGCACGAGTGCCGCCTGATGATATGCGGCGGCTTCCGCGAGCTCTTCGAGGCCGCCAACATCCAGGGCGGCACCGTCCCGGTCCCGGACACTGCAAGAAGCGAATACGTCCGACATCTGAAGTTCAAGTTTTCCGACGACCAGAAGCAACGGCTCGGGAGCATTTTGGAGCAAGTCCTGCTGGACACCCCGGTCTACCTGATCGACAACACAGACGCGACGTCAGATCCCTTAATCAGCTGGCTCCAAGAGCAGCCGTCCGGGTACTTAGGCGAAGAGTCGAAGTAGCAAATGCCGAGTTGGCCGAAAACAACTGACTCGCGAAGACGGGCCGAAGGCCTGTCCAGAACAGGCACCGTAGCAAGTACAGGGTCCGCTCGGCAGCAAGCGGGCGCACGCCAACCGCAAGGGAGAGAGGGACAGAAAGTCCCTCGTGCAGCCGAAGCTTATAACATCGTTGCTGAGCAGGGAGAAAAGAAGAAGGACGACTTAAGGACCCCTCACCCGAACCACGGTCCTCGCAGTTCACATGTCTTAACAGCAAGGACGAAGCCACCATCCAACCGCAGGGAGCGGTCGGAACAGTCCCCGACCTCCTAGGAACAGACCTCAAAACCGCACGCGGCCATGGAGGTGTCTCGGATTGCACCCGAGCAGATTGCTCGGAAAGAAACCCAGCAACAGGGACGAGAGCTAAGGACAGCCCACAACTGACGTCCTGCCCACTTGGCATGAGCAGGAACTTCAAGACGACGGCTCGTCTACCGAAGCCAGCGCGCCTTAGCCGACAACATGCACTCCCCTGCATACAAGCTATAACACAAGTTCACGGCCAGATTTCGCGTTGATCCGGATGCTTGCTCATAAAACCTTGAGAAAGGAAAAAAACATTCGATCACCAGGCGATGACTGAGGCACCATCAGCTAGCCAACCACAACCCCCACCCGCTAAGCTTGACATCGGTGGTGAATAGCCCGAACGATGCCAAAAAAGCGTTCCTTATCCAACATTGGAAGACTTGCAAAAAACGACAAAGAAGTGAGTACTTGGATAGACTCTTGTCCAGTCGCTCGACTTGTCGGCTGTATTGCGAGCTCTGCCAAGCAACATGCGCTCGCGGCCGCGAGGATCATAACCATTACCGTTTTTTGGCACACCAGCGAAGACATGATTCACATGATTCCGATTCGCGAAGCCTTTGCTACTCGCCCTTCACAGCATGGGCACGACACTCAGCCGGAACCGTTTGCAAAACAGTCAATCCTCGGGCATAAAGTCCAGATCGCGGTCTCCTCGCCGATTGGAGTAAAGAGGATTCTTGCTCGCTACAGGAATATGAGACAGTTAGGAGCGCCGCTCGTCTAAAAACTTGTGTGTCGGTGGCTGCTTTTGTGAAGGGACAGAGACATGTCTGACCGCATCATGAGCTTTGCATGTTCACTTTGCTGCTTGGTGTCTTGACTTTGGCATACAAAATTGTGGTGTAGCACACATGTGTGCGAAATGACAACTCCATGCTTCCACCGGACACAAATCAGATTCTTTGCGGATCTGCAGAATCCGAATGAATGCGATTGCATACATATCCGTTGCCGTTTTGGCTAAAGATTCTTGAGATTTTTTCTTCTCTTCCGGGGTTACTGCCTTACTCCTCCGACTCTCTGCGATCATGTCCTTCGACCGATCGCCCTGCTTTTTTCGCATTCTTGTGCGAGGGAGATGCAACGAGATTGCCTGAGGGAGTCGATGTTCCCGCGAGTCTCTTCAAGCAGTTCCCCGAGAAGGTGAAGGATTCGAGTGTCTTGCAGGTGCCTGGCCCGAGGATCCCCGAACTATCTGCGACAGGATCCGCGACGGCAAAAACTGCGATCGTCTCTCAAACTGCCCCGATCTATGCACCCGGACTTTATCGCCGAACGATGGGTGGTCCCTGATCTCATTTGCCACAAGTGGTTTCAGGGCATTTGCGGCTTCGGGGACCGTTGCTGGAATCAGCACGGGGATACCTTCGACAATGCCGTTGCACTCGCGATCCAAACTCAACAGGGCCTACGACGAAATATGGCACCTTTCCTCTATGACCCTGGCACCATTCGTCAGACCAATCGCGATGAGGCTCGTCGTTGATCAGAACCACGATTCTGCAATACCGAATGAGCACGATTCGGAAGTGGTACTTCGGCACGAGTTGGACCACTTACTACGAGTACCAAAGCTTCGCTCGATCTGATCTCGCACGACAACTTCGAGAAGCCGATAAAGCTCGACGTGGTACACTTCGAGACCGCTCCGCTACAGACCGCGGTCGTGGCTCCTCGCCCCGCAGGGGGCAGATACTCGGGTTCCGTCGAGACCTGGTTACTCTTGGACCAACAGACGATCTGTTACCCCGACTAGGTCTTCTTTCCCCTCAGCCAGATCCGCGACCCCATCTCCGACAAGAACGGCAGCACCATCGACACGACCTTTCTTCGATGGTCCCAGCATGGAGACGGAATCTGATGGTTCCTCCGCCCCACGATTTGGTGCACCCGGCTCCTCTTCCCGCCCAGGCGATGTGAGGGACCGCGGTCGAGCAACACACCGCGTACCACGCCGATGATCGTCGAGGTCGATGACAACAACCCTGAGTCGACTACACCGGCGACTCATCACAGAGTGCCCGACGATGATGATCTATGGAATGCCGTCGAGACCGAAGTCCAGGAATCCCGACGAGCCCAAGACGAGCCATTCGACCCTGCGGCGGAGGTCGATGAACGGGTCAACCCGGACATCCCTGAGTCCGCGAGACCGGCTACCCCTCAGCCTGCACAACCGATGGTCCAGGTCAAGGCCATGCCCAAGCAGCCTCCGATCACGCTCAACCTCGACCCGGTCGGGAATCCGTCTTTCACGTTTCACCGGATGTTTTCCTTAATTCCCCTGCTAGAGTTGCCGTTGCTCCTAGAGTCCTAGAGTTACGATGGCCCATCCGATGCCGCTTCCGGCTGACGTGGCCCGATGAGCAGTTCCGGCACAAGGGCCCACGGCTCTCACTTCATCACGGCTCGCCGATTCACCGGCTTCCCGGTGCTCTCCATGGCGTTGGCACCGATGGTTCGTATGCGGCCTTTGCCCCGGACGCCCCCTAGAAGATCTCCTATGACAGCGTGCTCTACCTCGACCAGGTGCTGAACTCCCCGACGATCAGATCGACCTTGACACCGTTTGGCCTTTTCCTCGATTTCCCAGTCTATCGCGATCGAGACCGCAGAGAGAGTTCTTTTGATCGGGGTCCCCAACAACTTCCACGATCCACAGGCGACCCTCGTCTGCTCCATGGTATGGCACACGATGACTGCGAGCTTGTCGGGATGCTACCGCCGAACATGAGGACCTACTTCGCTGGACACCCCGATCTGGCTCCTCACTTTGCGGCCGAACCCCCGAGCTACGTCCTCAGGCGCAGGAACTGAGCGAGTACAACCCGATCGGCTTCGATGTGACGCCGAGTCCTCGAGCATTCGATCTGAGTCCGCGATGCATCTTGTGGGAACTACGTTCACAGAAACTATACGCTTCCGCCAAGGCGATGTGCGTTATTTACGTGATATGGGGCCCGTTTAGATTTCTTGGGATCGGAACCACTTCCGCCTAGGCGATGTGTGGTCTCGTCCCACAGTTTCTGGCGAAACGCCCTCACAGAGTTCTTCGTAACTTCTCCATCAAAGCGGACATATGCATTTTGCACCGAAATAAAGAGACCACCTCATGTACTGTGGTTAGGCTCCGCATGTTTGGTACCGGGGCCTACTTTCATTCTCCTTGAAGACTGTGCGGCTTCGATAGTGCTCGAGTGTTCACTACTTTCCTGCCTCGTAGCATACCCGCAATCCCCCCTCGACCCGAACTTCACGTGCCCCCGAACTCGGACACGACAAGATCGAGCAGTACACGGCCACCCAGCCGATCGATGAGTATGATCCCATCGAACAAGTCACAGAGCCATCCCAGTCGTCGAAGGCAGTTTTGCCGGCAGCTCGAGCCTTGGAGGACCTCACGAGAGGCGCCGATCCTTCCTCGATCGAAGGCCGACTTGCTAAGCAAAGACGCCGCATGCACGACGAGGAAACTGCCCAAGTTGCCGTCGAGGTCCTCGCCTTTCGCCGAGCCCAGGAGCAAATGGAGCTGGCACGACTTCGCCAACAGTACTCACGAGCCAACAACGACGAGCTCTTCGAGATTTGGCGGCGCCACCTGGCCGGTGAGGCAATTGACTCCGAGGGCAATCCGGTTGAGAGCCACGAGGCCGAAATCATCGAGAAAGACCACGAGGAAGGAAACAAGAAGCTTCTCGGGTACCTCGGCTTTTTGTCTGCCAAACGCGAGGATCCCAAACACGAGAAGTCTCTGGACTGTACCTTCTGCGGGAAGCTGTGCCCGGCGTACTTCGAATCCTCTAGTGCATCAACCCGGCAGAGCTCGATGACTGGCGCAACACACATTATCGGTGCTGCTATGCCTGCGCGACATGCCATTCGGAAGACTTCGTCTGGTACAGCAAATGCTCCGCGCTCAAACCAGCGAAGCCGGGCGCTCGGGGCACGATCACCGGCGAGCGCCGCAACAGTTTCGACAGGGCGGCCGTCGCCGACTTCGATGATGACTGCGACAACACTCCCAGGCAGTGGCACGTAGCCGTCGATAAGACGGCGGGGACCTACGCCACCTTGTACTTCGACTCCGTCTGGGACGACGAGAAATCCCGATGGACCAGGAGGCCGGTCTTCCGTCACAAGGGCCAGATTGTGTCGACCATTCCCATCCGCGAGTGGTACTCTGTGCTCGAAGGTCATCACGTACAGACGACGACAGCTATCGGGACAGGTCCGCGATAGAAATGCTTCTTGGAAATCCATGTGTGACAGCATCCGTCGCGAGAGACCTGGCGAGGTTCGACTTCGAATCTTGTCTCTGACAGCACACTTCATCTCCGACATGGACAAACTCGATGCGGACAAGCGAGCCCGAGTGATGGTCGCCTTCAAGCAATGGCAGGTTTCCTCGTTGCGAGGTCCATCGATCCCAATTGGGACGGCGATGCCTTATGGGATCTGGCACTCAACGTCGACGCTCCCCTCACCGATTGGCTCTTCAAGGTCACCGATATGCTCGACCAGCACTTTATTTGCCGGAACGTCGATTGCACCTCCGTCATCCACAACCACCACTGGCTGCGACAAATCACAACAGACTACCCGATCCGTGAGCAGCATGGCCGCTACACGTGCCCGAGATGTTTGAC